GTGTAATTTACCCTACCCATCTCAAAACATTTTTTTCTGGAGATTTCATTTTAAAAACTAAAATAAATCATGTCTTTCAGTGAGATAGAAATACGCTGAAATTATGATAGAAAAGAAATTGATCAACTACACTAAGCTTCAACTTGCTATATTTCTGGGGAGAAGTCTGATTACTAGGACATTTTTATTAGCTAATTGGGAAGTCATACACAGTCTCCTGGAAAAGTTGTCTTAATTTTTGATAATCTGGGAGAACAATGACAATCATTGAAATGTTGCACCACAGACATAATTGGTTGTTTTCTAAGGTTGGTAAGAGTACATGACTACTCATGACTCATCTCAGCTGTTATCTTCCTTCAGTGTAAAATCCACAAATCTGTAGCTCATAGCAGAGAGGAGAATGGAAATTGGAAAACTTATTTTTAAAAAGGAATTAATTTCTCATGCTGAATACAATAACCTCAAAAATAAACTGTTGCTGTTATTCATTACAATGATGTTGTAAAACATTACTCATTTTTTTGCTATTATTTCCTCTTACTATTCTAAGGGAGAGAGAAAAAAAATCATAGGAATGCTGTAGCACAAAACTGGAAAAATTCCCATCTGAATCTGAAAATGCCCTTAAGATGTGTTTGAAAGTAACTACAAAAATTTGTTATTAACTCAGTTAAGTAACTATGGTCTTACTCAGTATCTTACATTCAAAATGGAAGTTTTTATGCCATCATAGTTCTTTGTTCATATCTAGATTGTTTGAAGTCACACAATAGAAAGCACTATTCCACCTTTCATCATCACAGGGATTCAGAGAGGCTCACAACAAGGTGAAAAGCAGAGAGCTAACGTAGTAAAGTAGTACATTAGTTTGCATGTGGTGGCTCAGTGGTTAAATGCCAGTACTTCAGCCACTCACTCACAAGTCACAAGGTTGTGAGTTCAATCCCAGCCAGGGGCTCAGGGTCGACTCAGCTTGGCATCCTTCTGAGGTTGCTAAAATAAGTACCCAGCTTGTTAGGATCAATTAGCTTATACATTGTAAACCACTGGGATACTACTGATTCTCTATTAAGCGGCATAGAAATGTAGCTGTTATTGCTATTGCTATTGGACTAGTACTCTGGGAGACCAGGATTCAAATCCCTGTTCCATCTTGGAAATCCAGTGGGTGATCTTGGACAAGTCTAATGCTCTTAGCCCCAGAGAAAGGCAATGACAAACCTCTGATTAATAAGTCTTGCCAAGAAAACCCTTTGTTCATAGATTCATCTTAATGTGGCCATAAGTTGGAAATGACTTGAATTTACACAACAATAACAAACAGATAAAATCAGAGAAATGTTATAATTCTAAAATTCAGTTAAACAATTATTAAAACTTGTCTGATATTTTGTAAAAAAAGGAGGGACTTGGGACATATATTTTTGGCTTGTCTTAAAATTAGAATATACTGGATTGTTATTATTAAAGATATTGGAAAAATGACAGGTTGTGGTCTCTCAATTGCATACTTTGATTGCTATCATTAATTTAAAATAATTTTTGCCTGAAGATTGTGCAATGGTGATTGATTGATCGACAGCTGCTAGAATGGGAAGAAACACACCCTCCTACTTCAGATTGTTTTTCCTCCACTGCTTGCTTTCTTCCTGAGGAGGAGTGAGGATAAGGATGGGTGAACAGTTGCAACATTTCTCCGCTGCTTGGTTTTTTCTTGAGGAGAAGGCCTGGTGGTGGTGGTGGAGGAGTTTGGGCAAACGCTCACCCCTCAGGGCTCCTCCAGTGTCTGGCTTTTTACTAAGGAGAAAGCCAGCTGGCAGTGGTGGAGGACAGGCAAATGCTTGCCCTGCAAGGCTCATCTGCTGCCCAGCTTTCTCTTGAGGAATGGGCCAGGCAGAGGAGAAAGAGGACAGCATTATTATTATTATTATTATTATTATTATTATTATTATTATTATTATTTAACAATAATTAGCCTAATTAGTTTAGGCTATTTTAATTTTGGCCCCTTCCTGCTGCTGAGTTGTGCAGGTCTGGTCTAAATGGTTAAATAAACAAATGTAATCAGAGAATAAGGGACATAGCAACATAGGCCCAAAATGCACAGACCAAAAGAAGCGGCTTCCACCACTTTGGGATTGTGGTGTCAGATGATGCATGCCCTCAAAGTGGCTGGATGCTGCTCCAAGGCTGCAGTCTGGTCCTTTGGACCAGATTGAAAAGGACTGCCTTGGCAGACGACTAATAAAGTCGTCCTGGAGGCAGGGAAGAGGAGGGGCAGCCGCACGAGCGGCGCTCCTTCCTCCTCCCGAGGTTGCCCTGGGAGCTGCCGGCCATCTGCACGGCCGGCGCTCCGGAGGCAACCTCCCGCCGCAGCGTCCTCACACGCTGCGGCGGAAAAGCCAGGGAAAGTGCGCCCTACGCATTTAGGGCGCACTTTCCCTGTCTTCCGAAAGGAGCGCTGATTTAGCGCTCCTTTCAGGGACGCCGCTGGTGCGCCGCGGTGCGGCTGCCATGGACCCACGGCGCACTGTCCTGCGGCGTCTCCGACGCCATTGTCTGCTTCCCCCCGGAGTGGAAATAAGCCACTCCTGGCAACAAAAGCTCAGGAATGTGGTGAGTCCACTTCAACAGGGCCTTTAATTATAATTGGTGCTTCTTCTTCTTCTTGTTATATTGTTGATCATCTGTAGTTTAACCTTATGCCTTACTGTTGTAATTCTTTTATTGTTTCTAATGCTATGGGTTTTTAACATTATGAGTTGGATAACTACGCAGTGTTCTACTCAGGAAATGAAGAAAAAAGAATGGAGTAACATAAATAGCGAGGAAAGACATAACAAAATCAGTCAATGGATATGATGTGAAGTCTGATCAAATCATATCAATAAGACTTCAGGGAAAGCCAATAAACATCACCATAATCCGAGTATATGCAACAAACACAAAGGCAGAGGAGAAAGAAATAGAGAATTTCTATAGTGGAGTCCAGGAAAAAATTGACAACACACCAAAACAGGACTGCTTGGTAATCCTAGGTTATTGGAATGCTAAGGTAGGAAGCAGAACAGAATCAAAGACAGCAGGGAGATTTGGCCCCAGTTCTAGAAATGAAGCAGGAGCGTTGTCAGATATGCATGGTTCTGTCATGATGATATGATGTAATGATGATATGATAATAAGATGATATAGTGATATAGTGTTATGATGCTGGTTTATTGAAAGGGGAATGGGAATCGTGGGAAGCCAAGCTTGGGAAACAATGGGAGGGGGCAAATAGCCAGAGGCAACAGAGATTTGTGGTTTTATGACCCTATTCTTGCAAGTGGATCGGGGCTGTAAACCAGGGATGTTCTCCTTCCTTATGTGTGATTGAATGATAATGCAGGAAAGGAAAGAGGAAACATGAAAGATCACTTTGATTCAGATCAAAGGCCTGGGATCTTAGCCGGGGGAGGGGGGTTGGATGATGGGAACTCTTAAGAAAGATCCAACGGGAAAACTTTTCAGTTCTGACACAAACCCTGGACAGAGGAACTTCTGTCTCAATTTCTGGAATAAAATCTTTTGTTTTAATCACACTAAGATGTTCTCTTATTGGAAACTGAGTCCACTGATCCTGACAAGAGTGACTGATAGTTTCGTGAGATGAACAATCTATTCATCATAAATACCTTCTTCATACAACTGGAGAGGAGACTGTACACATGGACATCCCAGAATGGTCAACACAAAACCCAAATAGATTACATAACAGGTAACAAAATATAGAGAAGCTCCATACTGGCAGCTGAATCAAGAGCTGGTGCAGATTGCAGTGCAGACCATGAACTACTAATATCTAAAATGAGAATCAATCTGAAGAAGAATACCAAACCACTAGCCATGCCAAAATATGATCTGGAATACATTCCAACAGAATTGTAAAAAAGTGCGAAAGACAGATTTGCACTATTAAGCCTAGTGGACTGAGTAACTAAAGAGCTATGGACAGAAGTTAGGGACATAGTCAAAGCACATTACTGCACCACACTTTTATAGTACTGCTATTCCACTTATACTTCTGTGGCTGCCTCTTGTTGCATTCTGAGGTTTGTAATTTTTTGAGGCCTAAGAGCTCTCTGGCTGAGAATTCTAAATGCCCCTTCATAAATTGCAAATCCCAGAATGCAACAGGAGGCAGCCAAGGCAGTTAAAGTGGAATAGCAGCACTATAAGACTGTTGTGCAATAATCTAGAAAGCAGAATGCAGAAAGATGATAACAGTGGCCAAAAAGGAGAAGAAATAGAATCTGACAGCAAAAAAGCAAGAACAAAAGACTTATTCCACAAGATACAGAAATTCAAAGAAATATTTAAACCAAGGGTGGGGATGCTATACTATCAGAAGATGAACATAATACATGACCACAATGATTTTTTTTTTAAAAAAAGATAAGAACAATACACAGAAGAGCTATATACAAATATGATGGGAAGAATGCCACATGGGAAGAAGAAATTTATGAAGATGAATCCAAAGTTTGGAAAGTGAAGTGAAAGACACACTCAGAGCAATTGGGAAGAATCAGGAAAGATGACATTCCAATAGAACTGCTACAATCCACAGAGCAGAATCAAGTTCAGTTCTAATTAAAATCTGACAACAAAATATGGAAAACAAAGCAGTGGCCCACAGATTGAAACTGATCAATATACATTCTTATAAAAAAGATGACACAAAAGATTGCAGGAAATACAGGACTATTGTATTAAATTCCCATGTAAGCGAAGTCATACTCAAAATTCTGCAGCAAAGATGCCTTCCATAAATGGAGTGAAAAATTCCAGAAGTGCAAGCTGGAAAGGAAAAGTGAGATAAAGTGGAAAGGGATGGGGCATTTTGAGTCAGAAATTTTGGGTTTTTCTTGGCAAGATTTGTTCAGAGGAGATTTGATATTGCCATCCTCTGAGACTGAGAGAATGTGACTTGCCCAAGGTCAATCAGAGGGTTTCCATGTCTGAGCTGGAATTCGAACCCTGGCCTCCAGAGTCCTAGTCCATCACCCAAACCACTACACCACACTGGATCTCTCGTTTTACTTGCGAAATGAAAAACTAAGAAAAAATGAGGTGGCATTAATATTGAAGAAAGACGTCGCAGAAGAAGTCAAAGGATGTACAGATGGCTCCACATTTGTGGAAAAGAAGAGGCACTAGGAATCACATTGCAAACATATAACGGATAATGGAGCATGCCAGAGAATTCCAAAAGGTGTTTTATTGAGTACAGCAAAGCCTTTGACTGCATAGATCATGGAAAACTATGGAATGCTCTCAAGGAAATGGGAGTGCTATTACATTTGATTGACCTGATATGTAACCTATACTCAAGCCAAGAGGCTGCCATCAGAACAGGATATAGGACCTTATCCCACGGGGCCAAAAGCAGCAAGAATCCACATGGAATCAGGCGCTATAGCGCTATAGTTTTCCGGGTGATCCCACGACGTCGCTCGGAATCCGCTAAGAATCAGGCGCTATAGCGCTATAGTTTTCCGGGTGATCCCACGACGTCGCTCAGAATCCGCTAAGAATCAGGCGCTATAGCGCTATAGTTTTCCGGGTGATCCCACGACGTCGCTCAGAATCCAACAAGAAACCGCTCGGAATGCAGCATCATTCGGGTTCTTTTGAATGCCTGGTTTCATCGGGCATTGCAATAGCGCTACCTTATCCATAGCGCTATTATAGCGCTAGCGCCATATTATACTAGCGCTATAGTACTGCAATGATGCTCATATCGGTTTCTTGCCACTTTTGAGAGCAGCGTGGGATAAGGTCCATAGAGAAACAGAATGGATTCCAATCAGCAAAGGGCTCAGGCAAGGCTGCATTATATCACCATCTTTATTCAATCTGTATGCTGAAAATATTGTATGGAGAGGAGGCTTAGACTCAGAAGCAGGAGGATTTAAGATTGGAGGAAGGAACAATAACAATCTAAGATACGCTGATGACACAATAGTACTAGCAGAAACCAACAAAGACCTGGACCAATTACTGAAGAAGATCAAGAAGGAAAGTGCCAAGATACTTAATATTGAGCATCAAGAAAATAAAAATAATGACCATGAAAGATCTAAAATAATACATCCTAGACAATGAGAAAATAGAAATAGTCAAAGAGGCTCCATTTTTGGATTTTTTTTTAAAATAATACACTCGATCCTCCACATTCATGGGGGTTAGGGGCGCAAGACCCTCACAAATGTTGAAATATCATAAATTACTCCCACCCACCCCACAGAAGCCAGTTAAAGGGAGGGCAGGGGAAGAGGAACATTCGTGCACTCTCCTCTTTCCCCCCCTGCCCTCCAGTCCCTTTAATTGGCTCCCTGCCCCTTTCCTGGATGGATGGGTGCCTGCCTTGACCAGGCACCCATTTTCCTGGGAAAGGGGAGGAGGGATGAATCCACCCAATACATCCAATATGTCTGGAGGATGTGAGGCTGGGGAAAGCTGGTCTAGAGCATGACAGAATGTTAGATATTCTTTAGTTTACATTGCACAAGTGCTTAGGATCAGTATTGTACCTTCTCAAACCCATATTTTCAGACAAAACTTTTGTACATTTATCAAGGTGGTTTTGTGCTGAAATAGGTTCATCATATTGTTACTGAGTAGAACAGAAAGAACTAAATCTTAGCAATTTGGCATTTTTCTTCAAACAATGCTTTTCCAATTTTGCCCTTTAGAGAACCCTTTGGGGGCGGGGGAGATCAATGAGAATATCCTTTCCTTTGACAAAACAGAATAGAAAAAAAATATGTAAGTCATTTGGGAAATCATGTATCACTTGGGTAAAAAAAGTCCACATTAATTGTTAATAATGATGGTGTTGGCACTGCACTTTCACAGGAGTGACTTTTACTAAAGTCAAATTGAATATAAATATGTGTGTATGTGTGTATCAAATCAAAGCTTAATCTGAACTAGAGTCAACCCCCTAGAACAGGGGTAGGCAGCCTAAGGCCCGGGGGCCGGATGCACCCCCCCAAGGCCTTTGGACCGGCCCCAGGCTGGTCCTGCCGCTGCCACCACCGCTGCCTGCCATGATGATATTGATTATTGTTGTTATTACTTGTTCATGGGGTTTTCTTGGCAAAATCTCCATAGGGGTTTTGCCATGGTTTTTCTGGGGCTGAGAGAGTGTGCATGCATTTTTTTAATTTTTAATTTTTAACATTTATTTATTTAATTTATGGTGCTTCGGCCCCCCAATTGTCTGAGGGACAGCAACCCGGCCCCCGACTCAAAAAGGTTGCCTACCCCTGCCCTAGAACTTCTTTTTACAAAGAGGTTTTATCCCTAGAGTGTGCAAGATGTGGTGGTGGTGGACATAACAGTAATGAAATTCTCCTCCTGTTTCCTACCTAAGGAGATATAAAATATTCCAAGAAATGTATTTTAATATTCCAAGAAATATATTTTATGCCCCAGACTTAACATAAGATCTATGAAGGACTTAATTTACAAACTTAGAAGCATAATTTTATATCCTTGTTGGAAAGAGTTGTTGTAAGATATTAATTTATATCAAAATCCCTATACTTAGGGCCTTTGCAGACTGCCAGAAATAGTGCACATTAAATTGAGGCACTGCCCTGGCTCAGTGCTAGGGAATCATGGGAACTGTATTTTATTGTGGCACCAGAGCTCTCTGACAGAGAAGGCTCAATGTCTCAGAAAAAAATACAATTCCCATGACTCCCTAGCACTGAGCCAGGGCAGTGCCTCAATTTAATGTGCACTATTTCTGGCAGTCTGCAAAGGCCTTTAGTTTATTTGAAGGCAAACAAAGCATATACAAAAAGACCCTTGGGGATGTGAAATAGAGGCAATAATTTATATGTGAAACCACTTGAAATTGTGTGGCACTTGAAAGACATTTTGCTGCCTATCCATATGATATTTTAAAACACTATTCCTAGTTGAATTGCTTTGCGAGGCAATTGTTTGAAAAGTTACTTTAATATCCCTTTTTAAAGCAATTTCTGTGAAAACTAATCATTGTACAAATAAAAGGTAATAAGAAAGAATTCATGCTTACTGAATAATTGATGGTATGATTATTAGACTTCTCTTGTTCCATTGGAGTAACTTTATAGTTTTAGAATGGCCCTTAGAGAAGGTATTAGAATTCAGGTAATTCTAAACGCTGTTAACTTGCTCCGTAAGGATCATATTTTCAGGATTATTTACTAGAAGCACACCCTGTGGGAAGATATTTGGTCAGTCTACAACAAGGTAACAGCTGATGCTAAAAGGTCAACAACACCCGTAGCCCATTGTTGATTATCCCTCTATTTGCAGACAGACAGATTGTGTCAGAATTTACAAACACTGCATAGTTTACAGTGTAAACTTTATTTCCATGTTGCAATTTTACCCTCAAGGTCTTATTTGTACTCTACATTGCCCCTGGAACCAGTGGGCAAATTTTAAAAAAGAATATTTTTTTATTGATGAGCTTTAATACAATATAAAAAGAATATTTTTTTCATGGTTTAAAGTTACTTTACTTCCCTCCCCCTTCAAAAGGCGGCATTCTCAAATTCTTAGATAATAATTTGCAGCACTGTTAATGTGGGTCAGCTTCCTAGGGAGACATAGGAATAAGAGATTACTCTCTTGATGTGACCAGGTGATGTAGCATTGTGTTTCAGACTACTAAAGTCAAATTGAATATAACATTGTACAGTGCAATGCTGCACAGACAGAGATTGGAAGCCTATGGGGAAAGTGTTACTATTTCCCAGTTCTATGACCCGATTCCCACTCCTCTTCTTTATTTTGAAATTTGTGGATTTATATCTGGCCTAGCTCATTTGATTATACTATGTGGTGTGTCATGCTTCATTGAGGAAATGTTGCATGTGGAGTTGAAAAAAGATGCATTTTCTAGAACTGCCTTCATAATTAAGGGGGGTTACAGACTGCCAGAAATAGTGCAAATTGAGTCCACTTTTAGGGTTAGGGTTAGTGCTAGGGAATCATGGGAACTGTATTTTATTGTGGCACCAGAGCTCTCTGACAGAGAAGGCTCAATGTCTCAGGAAAAAAAAAAACAATTCCCATAATTCCCTAGCACTAACCCTAACCCTAAAAGTGGACACAATTTGCACTATTTCTGGCAGTCTGCAACCCCCCTAAGTCTACTTAAATGGTGCCACCCCCTGCCATTCATTTATTGGAGGGCTAGCCAAAGAATACAAGTTTTTAGTCATAGAAATCTGAAAGTAATATTGGTCATTCTTAAGTGGATCTTATGCAGCATCTTATTTGCTATGGCCACATTTCAATATTTTGTCTTCTTTTTTCAGGGATGCCCTCTGTTTATTTTGTGGCTACACTCCTTTTAGCATTATCTATCAGTTTTATCTCAGGAGAAACAGAAGTAAGGTTCACAGGACAAACAGAATTTGTAGTCAATGAAACTACTACAACAGTTATACGGCTTGTTATTGAAAGGGCGGGAGAACCAGTGAATGTTACAGCTATTGTAGCGGTAAGAAATATTTCTTATCTAATTTATCTTTATATTAATGTTTTGTTTTAATTGTGAGCTTTTAAACTGTGAAAACAGGATTTGCGGGGGTGGGTAGACCCATGTAATCATGACAAATTGAGAAGGAAAATATCACTTCTTCACAAGACCAGTACAAAATCCCCTATGCAACATAAACACATCAAATGTCCTCTTGATACAATGAAGATACTCATTTTAATAATGGCACGGGATGTAGCAGAATGAGCAGAGCTATCATGTAATTGTTCTCTTTTAAAGAATGCTTACATATATGTATATTGCAGATTCATGGTGAAAATACAGGTGATTTTTTTGACACATACGCAGCAGCATACATATCTGAAGCAGAAACAAATAGAACTGTGTACATTTCTGTGTGTGATGATGAACTTCCTGAGGCTGATGAGACATTCACATTTTATTTGACACTGCAGGTGAGAACTGTTTTGTTTTAGTAAGATCAACTACATATGTGTCCTTAATGGAGGGGAAATGATT